ACTAAAGAACCAGGGAACAGCTTGGTGGTGGTCTCGTTTGAACCTCCCAACTGACTTTCCTTTGTTCTCTCCTTCACCGTGTGGGGTACCTGGCATCAGATGCATCCAGGCTACAGGTGTAAAGGAAAAGGACATCCATATGGAGAAAGAAGGAAAGAAAGGCAGAAAGGCAGACAGGAGAGGGTGTCAGGGCACACCCCACCTGACCCCATGCCACTGCACTGCCACCCTGCCCTACTCTGCTTCCCCGCTATCACTCCCTGCTATCACTCCCCGCTCCTCCTTTCCCCTTTTCTTCTTTCTCTCTATTTCTATTCCACAGTCAACTTCCCTTTCTCTATGTATCATTACACACCTAACCCCACTCCCCTGATCGCTGCACCTGCCGTGTGCATTCCTGCCTACAGAGTGGCACACCTCCGGGATCTCCCATGGAGATACCCAGGGAGATGTGGCTGTGTGCGGAGATGACGTGGCTCCCCCCACGTGACCCCAACCACATGTATATAATAGTGCCTGGGGTGGGAACAGAAGAAGCAGCCTTCTTCTCAACTTCCCACTTCAGACTAAGTGGTCAGGGACGCTCACCCTGCGATGGGACCACCACTATGCATAGCCGACACCTGTCCCATCGAGTCCCTCATGCTGGGACCTCACCGCTTCGGAGGTGTCCCTGACAGAGGGAGAAGGAGGCGGCATGGCACGGTGCAGGGTGGCATGCCCTGACAGGCGCAAGTCTGCACTCCGATCCATAGGGTATTTACCCACCTCTCACAATAGTCGAAACTTCATGTCAAACATGGGCAGGTTTTTCTTTGAAATTTGAGCAGGAACCATTTTGGTTTCCTGCCTGCAAGGGGGTAACTGGTCCTCAGTTTTGAATCAATGAATGGGTTTGTCAACCAATTCAGCGTAGATTTGTTCTTCACTCAGGAGTTCTCCGCTCTCTGAGCTGAAGCGAGTTTGAGGGCATAATTATCCTCAGATGGGTCCACGAATGTCATCCCTCATAGACCACATGCCCAAAGGTGACCTTGCCTTCAGGCTCACTTTCTAACTCATCCTGAGGATCAGGGTGTTCATATGGATCATCAATGAGGCGGTCGTCCCCTTCGTTGACAGCAGCTGCTGGGTCATCTGGGGACTCTCCAGATGGCTCTTCTTCTTCCACCCCAGCTTCTGTTGCTGGGGTGTCATCATTTGTGTCCTCATCAATCCCCAGAGCGAAAAGTTTGGCCCTGGGTGGATGATTTGGGCATTGGAACGAGTACCCAATTTTGCCACATTTGTAGCAAAGTGGGTTACCCTTTGCATCCTTTGAGGGATGACGTTGATAACTGGAAGATCTGGTATTCAAAGCATACCAGTTATTATTTGGAAGAGGCACCTCAGTCTGAGTTCTTGACAATGAAGCCACTAAGGGTTTCGTCGCCACCTGTGTTTTCTTAGCACTATAGGCTACAGATGGAGGGAAACTACGTGTCGCAGTTACCTTTGAAGCAGAGCTCACCACCCCTTTCATTGGAGGGGCAGAACTGTGAGAGCCACTCAATTTCATTTTTGAGCGATTTGTAAATTTGGAGGATGTCAGTCCTCCCCTATATGTGTTGATGGCATGCATGGAATCATATGTGTGGTCTACATGTAATACTGCAGTCCAAAGGTCATCTTTGGACGAGAAATCGACCGAAATTCAGTTGTGCATTACTAGCTCTTCCTTCATGTATAAAGGAAGAGCGTTCAAGAAATGCTCATTGAAACTTGCCTGGTCAGGGTGAGTTATCATCTTCTCTGATGCTCAGAGAAGTTGAGTGTAAAAGTGCTTGATTCCTTTGGAGGAATCATATGTGAGGGTTTTGAAGAGTTTTGTCAGGACACAGCAAGGAGGGGCAGTGTTCCTGGACCTTTCCCTGGAAGGGAGGCTGGATGTAGAGAACAGGCAGGAGGACCATGGCCTCAGTGACTCGGAGAGGGGCACTGTGCCTACGTTCGGTAACACTTAAGAGTCTGGTCCTTAACTTCAGAACGAGGGGTGCAAACTCTGGGGGATAGTCGTTTGTCGATTTTTCACTAAGGTGCTGTTAGAATGCGGGGATTCGGACGACTCCAGAGTGGAATCGGAGACTTAGCATGGAAGGACCTCGGCCTCAGTGACTCATGCGGAGCACTGTGCCATTGCTGGTTGTCCTGGGGGTCCCTAATTTCGGATCTAGCAGAGGGAAAGTCTCTTGGGGGGAATTCAGGTCGATTTCGGACTGAGGTTACAAGTTACTAGGTACATTGTATATAAGGAGGGGTCCGGAATCAAAAGGAACAAGGGTAGGACAAAAGGAGACAAAGGGAGATGGAAAGAGGAACAACACTGAGGGTCAAGTGTTTGACTCAATGGTGTTTCCCAAAGGAGGAATGAAGGGCCAAGGCCCAAGAAGGAAGGAAGGAGGATGGGAGTCGGGAATGGCTAGCTGACTGAATAGAAGGAAGCAGCAGCCCAAATAGGAATGAGGGAGAATAGCGGAATTGAAATGGACAATGCAATAGTTGCAAGGTCCGGAGTAAGTCCGGAAAGTCCGAACTCAGAGGTTAAACTCCGGAATATTGGCAAACGTAATTAAATGGAATGAGCTAACCAATACAATGGGTATAAGCGGAGGTGGGGTCAAAGTCCGAGGTCGGAGCTAAGACCGGAGGTTCCGGAGACGGAGACGCAAACAGGATTCCGGAGCGGAGGTCCGGAGTCGGGAACATAGGTGTTGCATGCTCGTCTGGAAGGTGTCGAGGATGAGGTCGGACCCGGAATGTTTCGGAGTTGGACCGAAGGTGGTGTTGGAGCCAGAGGTGGACCCCAACCTCCGCTCCGGGCTCCCGGAACTCCGAACCTGACTTCCAGAGTCCTACTTCCCTTCCGTCACCTTCTCCTTGCCGACTCCCAAGAGGTTATCCCACCTCTGGCTCTGACACCACCTTCGGTCCGACTCCGGAACATTCCGGGTCCGACCCCAACCTCGACACCTTCCAGACGAGTATGCAAAACCTATGCTCCTGACTCCGGACCTCCACTCCGGAATCCCGTTCACGTCTCCGTCTCCGGAACCTCCAGTCTTAGCTCCGACCTCGGACTTTGACCCCACCTCCACTTATACCCATTGTATTGGTTAGCTCATTCCATTTAATTATGTTTGCCAATTCCGGAGTTTAACTTCCAAGTTCGGACTTTCCGGACTTACCTCGGACCTTGCAACTATTGCATTGTCCTATTCAATTCTGCTATTCTCCCTCATTCCTATTTGGGCTACTGCTTCCTTTCTATTCAGTCAGCTAGCCATTCCCCACTCCCAACCTCCTTCCTTCCTCCTTGGGCCTTGGCCCTTCACTCCTCCTTTGGGAAACACCATTGAGTCAAACCCTTGACCCTCGGTGTTGTTCCTCTTTCCAGCTCCCTTTGTCTCCTTTCGGAGTACCCTCGCTCCTTTTGATTTGGGACCCCTCCTTATATACAATGTACATAGTAACTTGTAACCTCAGTCCGAAATCGACCTGAATTCCCCCCAAGAGACTTTCCCTCTGCTAGATCCGAAATTAGGGACCCCTAGGACAACCAGCAATGGCACAGCGCTCTGCCTGAGTCGCTGAGGCCAAGGTCCTTCCACGCTAAGTCTCCGATTCCACTCCGGAGTCATCCGAGTCCGCCCATTCTAACAGATAACCTCTTGGAAATCAGCAAGGAGGAGGTGGCAGAAGGGAAGCAGGACTCTGGAAGTCAGGTTCGGAGTTCTGGGAGCCCGGAACGGAGGTCAGGATTGTATGGATATGACAGGTGCCATCAACTACAGTACATGACTTATATACATAATACAAGACAAATTGGAACAAAGGGGAAAACCCAAGAGGGACTTACCCACTTGCTTGGTCAGCAAGCTCATGAGAGAATTGCCTTATCAAGCATTGTGGAGTGGGTAGGTGAAGGCAACAGCTATTGGGAAGTGGGAAAACCTTTGCAGGGTTGGCAGAGGTCCTAGGAGGTCCATAGTAATATTGGGTAGGTAGAAATATTATTAAACATTTAAGGTGAGGATAAGAGGTACCAGAGAAGGTACCGGAGATCGGAGGTGGAGGTGGACTGGAGGTATACCGGAGGGTATGGCGGAGGTGTGGGGGGAGGATGGACTAGAGGTGAACCAGAATGGTGGTGGAGTAGGTCAGAGGTTAGGTGGAGTAGGTATGGATATGACAAGTTTGGTGGCAGGAACTGCCACTGATCTCTTCACATATGTTAACATCAGCTTGTTTAACAGCTGAATGAAGGTAGGGGTCAACCCCTCCTCAAAACCTTGCTTCATATCATGAAGCACAATTTGTTTGGGGTCGCTGTCTAAGGCACGAGCTAGAGCATCTATATGAAGCTCATTATAGCTTGTGCCTTTCCACCTTTCCTGATATCCAGGAGGTGAGCTCCACCAGCCAGTTCTCAAATTTTTTTCCCCAGACCACAAAGTGGTGGGGAATGGCACAGAGTTCTTTTTCAGTAACTCTGGTTTTATGTCAGCTGGGAGAGGTGTTAGGATACGAGCCTTTACAAGGTTTGATACCCTTCTTACAAGATTTCCCATGAAGCCCTCCAGGTCTCCAGGGGTCATACTGTTAGGGTCCCTAGAATAGGACCTAAGAGTAGTTTCAATGAACCCATCGTTTGGGTTGGCAGCACTCACCATCCTCGGAACAGTTGAGCTCATTGCCCGAAGAGGGTTCAGATTGTTGCTGAACTCTCTTTTCACAGGAGAAATTAGGTCTATTGGGGCCTCAACCTGAGGACCCGGCATTCAATGAATGGTAGGCTGGGGAGTCAAGACTTCTCGTCTCAGCTCCTGCTCTCGTTCGTGTTGTTTACTAGGCTGATTAAGGTCAAAGAAGGTGGCCACGTCGTTGTCGCCACCACCAGGAGGCACTTGTGCCCTGAACTGCCCATAGGTATTTAACCTACTCTGCAGTTCTCGAGCATGGCCTCAGCGTTCTGATTCAAGACCATGCAGCATATAGACATATGCTGCATCGTCATCCACTCGTGTCCTATATTCCTTGGACGCTTCACTCGTTGCAGGAGTAGCAAAGAGATGTCTTTGCTTCCTCTTGATTTCGCCTTGCTGGTTGACCACAATGGCCGAACCGGTTCCATAATGAGATATAAGAGGCAATCCTGCCTCAACATCTGCATCATCTGAACTAACAAAAACCACAGGTGGTTCTCAAGAGTTTAAACAAGATGTATTCAGTTGTTGCACAACTGTCATGACCGCCTGCCCCAACATTTCAGTGATGGTCTTTTGTAGGCCCTCACTCCTGTTGGCCTCATCATCAGGAGGTCGATTCCATGGCTCAAGAAGGTGATCAGGTTCATTACGATCCTTGTTCACCCATTTCTCTTTCAAATGGGAAGGTATCCATGCTGGTGACAAGGCAGATTCCTCACTTTCCGGGTCAGGGAATATAGTGGCCATCCATATTCCAGGATCCCCTGAACCTGGGATGTGGATAAACTTGGGTAGGTCGTTGTCGTCATGCAGATTCTGAGTCATTGTAACCATGGGAAAAGTCCCTTGGTCATGTAGCACCTGTTTAGACACCCTAGTTGGATCTAGGGTTCGCCTGGGCACAGTCAATGCAGGCTCCGAAGGTCCTTCAGGAACCTTTGGGGTCTCTTCCAATTCATCAGGGACAGGTTCGATGGGTCAGGGGACTTCCTCAGGGTGAAGCTCCTGACGTCCCTCGAGCACATCTAATCTTTTCAAAATGGTGCTGAATCTACTTTTGAGCCCTTTATCAAAGCTCTCCAATGTCTGGATGAAATCCTTCCACGGCATCTCTTCTCATTGTTATGGAAATGGGAAATTCCCATTTTTAGCCTCTTATGGCCTCTGTACAGTATATTATCACGTGACATGTATATAATAACAACTGAACCAGCTATTATCACCCAAAACACCCGATGTCCATGTTATTGTAAACCCCACTGTTACAACATCTGTTACATTAATTGTAACAGCTTCTCAATGTCACGGCCCCCTCCTGCACCCGGACGCTATAGAAATGGGCCAATTAGGCCCCATTTTTATAACACTCATGGTGCAACAACGGAGAACGGTAGGTCTCCCTTCATTGTTGCTTCATCAACAGGGGGATTATTAGTCCCTGTCGACTCACTGCTCGTGGTTGGAAGTAGGGGCACAGGTGCTGAAGGGCCTGTGCCTCTCGCTGCTGACTGAGTCTCTGTGTCAATCGGTGTGTTGTCCAGATCAGCAGTGATCGTGGCTGGGGCTTCTGTATCAGCCACCACTCCTGACAAGTCTAGCTCGTCTGGAGGCACGTTAGGGCTCCCAATTGGATCGGGGTCAATTGGTGTGGTATTGTCATATCCATACAATCCCGACCTCCGCTCCGGGCTCCTGGAACTCCAAAACCAACTCCAGAGCCCTACTTCCCTTCCATCATCCTTGCCGACTCCCAAGAGGTTATCCCACCTCCGGCTCTGACACCACCTTCGGTCCGACTCCGGAACATTCCGGGTCCGACCTCAACCTTGACACCTTCCAGACAAGCATGCAACACCTATGCTCCCGACTCCGGACCTCCACTCCGGAATCCCGTTCGTGTCTCCATCTCCGGAACCTCCGGTCTTAGCTCCGACCTCGGACTTTGACCCCACCTCCGCTTATACCCATGTATTGGTTAGCTCATTCCATTTAATTATGTTTGCCAATATTCCGGAGTTTAACTTCCGAGTTCGGACTTTCCGGACTTACGTCGGACCTTGCAACTATTGCATTGCTCCATTCAATTCCACTATTCTCCCTCATCCCTATTTGGGCTGCTGCTTCCTTTCTATTCAGTCAGCTGGCCATTCCCCACTCCCATCCCCCTTCCTTCCTCCTTGGGCCTTGGCCCTTCACTCCTCCTTTGGGAAACACCATTGAGTCAAACCCTTGACCCTCGGTGTTGTTCCTCCTTCCAGCTCCCTTTGTCTGCTTTCGGAGTACCCTTGCTCCTTTTGATTCCGGACCCCTCCTTATATACAATGTACATAGTAACTTGTAACCTCAGTCCAAAATCGACTTTCCTTTGCTAGATCCGAAATTAGGGACCCCTAGGACAACCAGCAATGGCACAGCACTCTGCCCAAGTCGCTGAGGCCAAGGTCCTTCCACGCTAAGTCTCCAATTCCACTCCGGAGTCATCCGAATCTGCTCGATCTAACAGGCGTCAGCCTCACCAACATCTACAATGGGATCGAGTTCTCATGCAGATTTCTGCACAGTCTTCATCTTCTTTCAAGAAGAAGACAATCCAGCTGCCCCTCAAGAACTCATTGGGGAAGAGGGTCTGGGTGAAGATTAGATCAACGTGCTTTGCAACGTCAATCGAATCAGGAACAAGTGTGGGGTTAATTGGATTAACTTAATAACAACTGTATATACATATATAGTGTCCGGGGTCAGGAAAAGGAGCTTTGCTCTTCTCCTCCCCCCCTGTCGAATACGAGCTTCATACAGTCTAGCTTCTGACAGCCTGAGGATTGAGGAGTCACCAAGGCTGGCACCCCAACTGGCCTTACACTTTTTTAGACTCATTGGGCTAGTTTCACACACCCAACTGACACGTGCATGCACCCAATGTGCACTGCTGTGCTCCCAACTTGCTTCTTTCTCACAATTCACACTCTCATGGCACCCCTGGCTTACAACCACATTCTCTAAGTCGACCTCGCTTGTCTAACATGTCTACACATGTTTCCACATGACTTTCTGGGGGTCACACATGAAATTCACATGTGCACTTAGATATTTGCGCTCACGTACCCTCTGGTCTTTTCTCAACGTGAAACTCACATGTTGACGACATTCCAAATGCATGTTTTCGTTGTCTAGGCCTTACCAACTACACATAATGCAACTCAGACAAACATGACTCAAAAAAAAAACCAATGTTGTATCAGCTCAACGGTTGTGATCTCCCTTGGGACGATCCTCTCTCTAGTCCTTGCAGACTACTGGGACTTGCCTGGATGCATGTAAGGGGCAGTTGGAGTGCTGACCCTGGTGACCCTGCTGTCCTTAGCCTGTCAATAATGTAAGCAGTATAGAGCTATATTATTGACAGGACATGGAAGAAGGTAAAGAACTATATACATTTGTTGTATCTTATTTGTAATGAGAATAACAATGAATAAGATACTTGACCTGACAACCACCACCCATTCCTTACAATGCACTGGAATTGAAGAAGCGATGTATATACACACAATGGATATGATTATTTGCGGTCTCAACCTGCGACTGCCACAGATGATCACCCTCGCAGGTAGATCTCTGCTGACAAACTCATCAATCTGTATCTTGCATCCTGGAGATGCCCTTGCCACATCAACACATTGTCGATTGTGTGGCCTCCACCATCCATCCTCCACCTGAACCAATGCTGAGTGCTGATGCCAATGTGTCGCCAGCTACGGTTCACACTTCATATTTCCTATTTCCTGCCAGCCATGTCAACCCATTCCCCGCACCAGCCATGCGATTCTGTGACTCCAACGACCCCTTCTGACTTTGGCCCCTCACCGTCTTCAACTCTGACTTCAACAACCCCGATTCATCATCATCGTTCTTGAGGCCAGACTAAGCACTGTCCGATTCTGCATCATCCAATAGGGGGCCTCACAGTTGATTAAAGTGGAGCTAAACTGGGTTCTGAGTGGTTCAAAATTGACCTAAATTCCACCTCAAGTGGGGCCTCAGTTTAGAGCGAGTTTAGGTCGAGTTTAGGTCACTTCAAGGGCGCTCACAGTTGGGGTGGTTCTAAAGTGCGTCCAAAGTGGCTCAGGCCTGGATCTCATAAGTCCGTTCCATTCTGTGTCATGCCATCACTATACATCCGAATGCCATCTACTTCCGACTGCCAGCTCCTCATACATGCAGTGTGCTCCGTTGGAGGAACAACCTCAGAGCATATTTACCTGTATTTACATTGAACATGTTACATAGAATCAATTGCCATCCCGACTGAGTCAACTGGTTCTTTTGATGAAGACTTGGGTGAATGGGAGTGTGAAGTCAGGCTAGAGCGCGATGTTGTTTATATAGGTGCAATGTACAATCCATTGGGCTAATGACAACAAAGGAAACAGTGAACATGAAACTAGTGCCTCTGATGCTTTGGCTGAAGCTGCCCCCTCCCCCTTCATCCTTGTGTCGCATCTGCCATGACAACATGCGGCCCTCCAGCATACTCTGTGAATACATGCACGTCACCATCAACAATGCCAGTGTCTAAAATTAAGGATTCACTCTTGAGTTCTAGTTCAGACACTGATGACAACAGTGACAATAATATCCACGTTGAGCAGCAGCAGCAGCATGGTGAAGGGAACGGACAGGTGACTTAGGTAGCAAACTGTACAGTTAGTGTTAATGTGGACTTACTCAGTTTTAAAGCCGAGTTTAGATGGGTGACTTTAGGCAAATTGGGGCTCCTGAGCCCCAAGTCGAGAAGGACCCAAAGTGGCGACTTTAGATCTAGTTTTGATGCACTTTTGTCACTTTAGGTTCACTTGAGAAATCTCACTTGAGATCCAGTTTAGGCGAATTTATTCAACTGTGAGCCCCCTTAATGTCGATGCAATGCTGCCAACTGCGACAAATCTCTGCTGTGCTGCCATCTATAATGTCGATGTTACTTTCCCCCCCTGGCTCCAATGTGTCCTCTCCATTCCATGTTGTCACTCTCGCTGTTGATGCGCTGTAGGAGAAATAATGGTCACCCTATGAAAACTCATTATAGAATTATGCCAGAAAAATCACAAAACCCCCATATGACAAGTAGAAATGAGAAAATAGAAGAACCTGAATTTTAACGAATTTTCACGAATTATTACGACTACATATGACAAATAGGAAGAAATAAAATTAATAAAAATACTTCAAGCTTAGCATCAACAAGACAGAATGCTCGGGAGAATTTATAGCAAATATCAAACAAGAAACTACAGTGTAGGCAGGTTATTTTTGACACCTCATTTGCTTCCGGAAGGATTTCCCTTTCATTGCTCACAATTTGAGTCTAAACAACATTCTAACTATCAGAAAAGCATCACAAATGTACATTCTATTGGTCTATCAGACCACTTTTTCATAATTTAGGGTAATGAAAAATTTTCCTCCAAAGCAATGTCCACCTATGCCATCCTAATTAGGAAACTGTGCCCAAATAAGGTGGGAACCCTGTAAAAATTCACATGTGCCATAGAGCATGCATCTGAGATGCCATTAACAAAGCTACATCGCTGTTTTAGCATAAGAAATTGAGAAAGGAAGGCAGTATTGTGCATTATGATAAATATGTGAAAATCACGTGCTGCCAACCACCCTGAAAATGCCTGCCCCTAAGTGGGATGTTCAAAACTGTGGAAAATCTGGTTTTAGACTCCTGCAATCTTGTCTCAACCTGCTGTTTCTTCCAAATAAACTGGGTGCTCTATGGATGCATGAGTAAGCTGTCATCATAGTACCTTTTTATTGTTCATTGC